TCAGGATATTGTTCCTTTGTCAGATTCATAGTTTGCAAATATTTTCTCTCATTCCGTGGGTTGTCTATTTACTCTGTTTCTAACGTGTGCAGAAGCTCTTCAGTTAAATTAGGTCCCATTTGTCTTTTTTTTTTTTTTTTTTTTTTTGGTCACTGTTGCAATTGCTTTTGGTGCCTTCATCATGAAATCTTTGCCAGGGCCTATGTCTAGAATGGTATTCCCTAGGTTTTCTTCAACATTTTTTATAGTTTTAGGTTTTACCTTTAAGTCTTTAATCCATCTTGAATTGATTTTTGTATATGGTATAAGGAAGGGGTCCAGTTTCAATCTTCTGCATATGGCTAGCCATCTGTCCCACCACCATTTATTGAATAGGGAGTCCTTTCCCCATTGCTTGTTTTTGTCAACTTTGTTGAGGATTAGATTTGTTGAAGTTGTAGGTGTGCAGCTTTATTTCTGGGCTCTCTATTCTGTTTCATTGGTCTATGTTTCTGTTTTTGTACCAGTACCATGCTGTTTTGGTTACTATAGCCCTGTAGTATAGTTTGAAATCAGTAATGTGATGCCTCCAGCTTTGTTCTTTTTGCTTAGAACTGCCTTGGCTATTTGAGTTTCCATACGAATTTTAAACGTTTTTTCTAATTCTGTGAGAATGTCATTGGTAGTTTGATAGGAATAGCATTGAATTTGTAAATTGCTTTGGGCAGTATGGCCATTTTAACAATATTGATTCTTCTTATGAGTATGGAATGTTTTTCCATTTCTTTGTGTCATCTCTGATTTCTTTGAGCAGTGTTTTGTAATTCTCATTGTAGAGATCTTTCACCTCCATGGTTAACAATATTCCTAGGTATTTTACCTTTTTTGTGGCTACTGTGAATGACACTGCATTCTTGATTTGGTACTCAGCTTGGGCATTACTGGTATATAGAAATGGTACTGATTTTCATACGTTGATTTTATATCCAGAAACTTTGCTGAAGTTGTTTTATCAAATCTAGGAGCTTTTGGGCAGAGACTATAGCGTTTTCTAGGTACAAAATTACATTGTCTGCAAAAAAGATAGTTTGACTGTCTTTCTTCCTATTTGGATGCCTTTTCTTTTTCTTGCCTGACTGCTCTGGCTAGGACTTCCAGTACTATATTAAATAGGAGTGGTGAGAGTAGGCATCCTTGTCTTGTTCCAGTTCTCAAGCGAAATACTTCCAGATTTTGTTGTTCAGTGTGATGTTGGCTGTGAGCTTGTCATAGACAGCTCTTAATATTTTGGGGTATGTTCCTTCAAGGCCTAGTTTGTTCAGGGTTAATGAAGCAATGCTGAATTTTATTGAAAGCCTTTTCTGCATCTATTGAGATGATCATGTGATTTTTGTTTTCAGTTCTGTTCATGTGATGAACCGCATTTATTGATTTGTGTATACTGAACTAACCTTGCAACCCAGGGATAAAGTCTACTTGATTGTGGTGGATTAGCTTTTTGATGTGCTGTTGGATTCTGCCTGCTAGTATTTGGTTGAAGATTTCTGCGTCTATGTTCATCAAGAATACTGGCCTGAAGTCTTCCTTTTTGTATATTGGCCTGAAGTTTTCCTTTTTGTTGTATCTCCGCCAGGTTTTGGTATCAGGATGACACTAGCCTCATAGAATGAGTTAGCGAGAAGTCCCTCCTCAATTTTTTTTTTTTTTTGAGATGGAGTTTCATAACTCTTGTCGCTCAGGCTGAAATGCAATGGATGCAATCTTGGCTCATGGCAACCTTCACCTCCCGGTTTCAAGTGATTCTCCTGCCTCAGCCTCCCGAGTAGCTGGGATTACAGACACCTGCCACCATGCCCAGCTAATTGTTTTGTATTTTTAGTAGAGATGGGGTTTTCACCATGTTGGCCAGGTTGGTCTCGAACTCCTGACTTCAGGTGATCCACCCACCTTGGCCTCCCAGAGTGCTGGGATTACAGGCGTGAGTCACTGCACCCGGCCCCTCCTCAATTTTCTGGAATAGTTTCAGTAGGAATGGTGCCAGCTCTTCTTTATGCGCTAGGTAGAATTCAGTTGTGAATCCATCTCAACCTGGGCTTTTTCTTGTTGGAAAGCTTTTTATTACTATCCAATTTCAGAACTCATTATTGGTCTGTTCACAGAATTTCTTCCTGGTTTAGTCTTGGGATGTTGTTTCCAGGAATTTATCCATTTCTTCTATGTTTTCTAGTTTGTGTGCACAGAGATGTTCATAATAGTTTCTGGATGGTTTTTGTATTTCTGTGGGGTTGGTGGTAAAATTACATTTATCATTTCTGGTTGTGTTTATTTGGATCTTCTCTTTTTTTCTTTATTAGTTTAGCTAGTGGTCTACCTATCTTATTCTTTCGAAGAACCAACGTCTGGTTTCAATGATCTTTTATATGGTTTTTTTGTGTCTCAATTTCATTCAGTTCAGCTCTGAGTTTGGTCATTTCTTGTCTTCTGCTAGCTTTGGGGTTGGTTTTCTCTTGTGTGTGATGTTAAGTTGTTAATTTGATATCTAACATTTTTTTTTTTTTTTTTTAAGACGGAGTCTCAGTCTGTTGCCCAGGTTGGAGTATGGTGGCGGGATATCAGCTCACTGCAACCTCTGCCACCTGGGTTCAAGCAATTCTCCTGCCTCAGCCTCCTGAGTAGCTGGGATTACACCTGTACTAGGTGCATATATGGATGCCACCGCACCCAACTAATTTTTGTATTTTTAGTAGAGATGGAGTTTCACCATGTTGGCCAGGCTGGTCTCAAACTCCTGACCTTGTGATCTGCCCGCCTCAACCTCCCAAAGTGCTGGAATTACAGCTGTGAGCCACTGCACTGGCCGAGATCTTTCTAAGTTTTTGATGTGGGTGTTTAGCACCATAAAATTCCCTCTCAACACAGCTTTAGCTGCCTTCCAAAGATTCTGGTATGTCGTAGCTTTGGTTTGATTAGTTTCAAAGAATTTCTTGATTTTTGCCTTCATTTCTCATTATTTACCAATAAGTCATTCAACAGCTGGTTAATTTCCATGTAACTGGATGGGTTTGAGCCATCTTGGTATTGACTTCTATTATTTATTTATTTGAGACAGGCTATCACTTGCTGTTGCCCAGGCTGGAGTGCAGATGCATGACCTCGACTCACTGCAAACTCCACCTCCCGGGCTCAAGTGATCCTCCCACCTCAGCCCCCTGAAGAGCTGGGACTACAGGAACACATCACCACTAGTGGCTGATTTTTGTATTTTTTGTAGAGATGGGGTTCTGCCATGTTGGCCAGACTGGTCTAGATCTTTTTTTTTTTTTTTGAGACGGAGTCTCGCTCTGTCGCCCAGGCTGGATTGCAGTGGCGCAATCTCGGCTCACTGCAAGCTCCGCCTCCCGGGTTCACGCCATTCTCCTGCCTCAGCCTCCCGAGTAGCTGGGACTACAGGCGCCCACAACCGCGCCCGGCTAATTTTTTTGTATTTTTTTTTTTTAGTAGAGACGGGGTTTCACCATGGTCTCGATCTCCTGACCTTGTGATCCGCCCGTCTTGGCCTCCCAAAGTGCTGGGATTACAGACGTGAGCCACCGCGCCCGGCCGGTCTAGATCTTCTGAGCTCATGCAATCTGCCTGCCTCAGCTTCCCAAAGTGCTGGGACTACAAGCATGAGCCCCTGCACCCAGCCATTGACTTTTATTTTTATTGTGTTTGCTCTGAGAGTGTGGCTGGTATGATTTCAGTTTTTCTAAATTTGCTGAGAAGTGTTTAATGGCCAGGAGGGTGGTTGATTTTAGAATATGTGCCATGTACAAATGAGAAGAATGTATATTCTGTTGTTTTGGGGTGGAGAGTTCTGTAGATATATGTTAGGTCCATTTGGTCAAGTATCAAGTTCAGGTCCTGAATATCTTAGTTTTCTGCCTTGATGATCTAATACATCAGTGGGGTGTTAAAGTCTCCCACTATTATTGTATAGTTATCTAAATCTTTTTGACAGTCTCTAAGAATTTATGAATCTGGGTGTTCCTGTATTGGGTGCATATATATTTAAGATAGTTAAGACTTTTTTTGAATTGAATCCTCTACTGTCATGTAACGTCCTTCTTTGTCTTTACTGATCTTTGTTGGTTTAAAGTCTTTTTGTCTGAAATTAGAGTAGCAACTCCTACTTCTTTCTGTTTTCCGTTTGCTTGGTTGATTGCTCTTCACCCCTTTTCTTTGAGTCTATGGGGGTTACTGCATGTGAGATGGGTTGCTTAAAGATAGAATACAGTTGGCTCTTGCTTCTTTATGCAACTTGCCACTATGTGCCTTTTAATTGGGGCAGTTAGCCCTTTTACATTCAAGGTTAACAATGATATGTGCCCATTTGATCCTGTCATCATGTTGTTAGCTGGTTATTACACATACTTGATTGTGTAGTTGCTATAAAGTGTCAACGGTCTATGTAACCAATTGTGTTTTTGTGGTAGCTGGTAATCTTTTTTTTTTTTTGAGACGGAGTCTTGCTCTGCGACCCTGGAGTACAGTGGCACGATCTCTGCTCACTGCAAGCTCCGCCTCGTGGGTTCATGCCATTCTCCTGCCTCAGCCTCCCAAGTAGCTGGGACTACAGATGTCTGCCACCACACCCAGCTAATTTTTTTTGTATTTTTAATAGAGGCAAGGTTTCACCGTGTTGGCCAGGATAGTCTCGATCTCCTGACCTCGTGATCCACTCATCTCGGCCTCCCAAAGTGCTGGGATTAAAGGTGTGAGCCACCGCGCCAGGCTAGTATTCTTTTGTTTCCACATTTAGAAAAATACAAAACCCTTCAGCCAGGCGCCTGTAATCCCAGCACTTCGGGAGGCTGAGGTGGGTGGATCACTTGAGGTCAAGAGTTGAAGCCCAGAAGTTCAAGACCACCTGGCCAACAGTGTAAAACCCTGTCTCTACTGGATCACGCCATTGCCTTCCAGGTGGGGCAACAGAGCGAGACTCCGTCTCAAAAAAAAAAAAAAAAAAAAAAAAAGAAAAGAAAAATATGGAACCCTTCGTGAATCTGTGTCATCCTTGTACTGAGGCCTTGCTGATCTCTGTATCTTTCCAGTTGTAGGGTAGGTACTGCCAAAGCAGGTACTTGAATATTTTAATCCAGGTTATATAAGGAAAAAAAGTTGGAATTTCTAATATTTAGACCTAGTTGGCTCTAGTTTAAAGATATAAATATGTACCTTACTTAAACATCATGTAAATAAAATCTAATTTAAGCGCAAACCCTATTTCGCAGTGATGAACTTGGTTTTAGCATTACATTATCTGCCAAATTCTTTTACATTTAAAAAAACTCCTAAATACAAAGAATACCTAGTAAGTGAAAGAAAATAAAATATCCTAACCAGCCTGTTTTACAAAGATATTGGTTTAAAATAAAGAAAAAGCATATACTTACTTATGGGCTCTGAATGTATAGATAGGTTCTACATCAAGAGAAGTGCTCCTAAATCAGAGAGAGATGACTTTAACATTCGAAGTTTCAGTAATAAACAGTATAATTGAACATATGTCATAAAATTGCCTTTAAAAATACAAACATTATGGGAATATACCATTCTCAACTATATGATACATAAGAAAGCTTACTTAACACCAATTATACTTTCATGGCATCAAGAAACAAGATTCTTGTTTAGTAATAATATCTTGTTACAGTATTTTTAGCCCTGTCATAATCTATTTGACTAAAGGGAAAGACAGCCTCATTCAAGAGAAACAACATGGGCTTTGAAGAGATAAATTTCTGAACTCAATTTCCAGTTCTGTCACTAATTGGCGAACTTTAAGCAAATTATTTAATGTTTCAGAACTTCAGATTACCCCGTTTAAAACAAAACAAAAAAATGGGAATGACACCAAATAATCACAGGATTAAATAGGATTCTACAAGTTAAAAAACACCCCAGGACACAATCATGCACATAGTAGGATATCAGCAAATGGTACTTCTATTTCCTTGCCTTTCCAATAAGGTTAATATGTCTATCCTCCATACTGAAGAGATTGTCCAAATTATCAGTTTATTCACTACTCAGAACACCATTATTATAGGTACACTATACTCTAATACTGGCTATGACTTTGATGGAAACTGGATTTAAAGTCATGTACCTACCAATTTCTACACTGTATTGCAGTTATGTATAGACCTGTTATCTCACAATGTATAGCCAGTAAACTATTTTTCTCTTCTGAAAACACCTAATCTATATGAAAGTCCATCTGGTTTTAGCAATATCTGGTTGAGCTATCTGAAGCAGACTGATAAATCAAATATTTCATCTACCCTATGTATGACACAGCATGAATGACACTGATCTCTCTCAGATTTCCTCCATTGGTAGTAAAATTTTTGTAGCCTCCTCTATTTGATGTTCAGTGATGACTCTTATAATAACAAAGTGCCCAACACTGCAAAAGGGTCTTTGCTGGCAGATGCTGGTTTTTTTTCTTTTTTTGACATGTGACCCAAAGGAGTGGAGCTCCAATAAGGACCCAAGAAAGTAGAATCAGGTTTAGCTATGTGACTTTTAAAGGGTTTATACTAACTCACGTCTATCCATACTTAGACAAGAACTAAAGGGCCAAGGCAAGCACTTCAGCAGTTAAGTTAGCCTCTGAGTCTAGACATACTGGTGGGTATGGAAAGTACATAAAGTCTTAAGGCCAAAAGACAAGAGCAAGACCCTCCACTCATCCCAGTGAGGCTTTTCTCTGCTCCACCCCATAAGTCTAATCTACTAAATAATGGGTGGAGGTGGAGATTTGATTATTTTAAAGATGCATATACCTGTTTATAGGAACAGTCAAAACCTTCAGTACAGATAAGGGGCTCCCCAAATATAGCAGCCATTTAAAAATACTGTTATATATAAGGACGGTAATCAGTATTCACAAACCCTGGTGAAACCAACAGATAACACCACATCTTCCTAAGCATCAGTTTTCTAACCTACCATTAGGTCGTATAAACGGAAAAACACAATAAATTACATGACATGGCAGAAAGAACTAGAAGAAATATTTGGGAAATTTAATAGAAATAAAATATGTCGTTTTCTGCTGAAAATGTTAATTAAAATATTCAAGTATGTCAAAGTAGAATATTCTCACTTTTTGGCTGGGGCTGTTTTCTGTAAATTCCACATTTTTAATGTGTGATCCTCTGATGCTGTTATCAAAACAGGCTCAATGGGATGGAAAGCAAGGGCTCGGATGCCATCAAAGTGACTTCTCAACGTAAACTTAGGGTTCCATGTCTTCCTCAAGGCATCTTTATTGTTTGCTATCTATTAAAGAAAGAAAACAAAGATATCTACACACTTAGTTCAGGATAGGGGAAAAAAATTGCATTTCAACATTAATTCTTGCTGATTTGTCAATAAACCATCACTTTGCAATTTTTAAAACAATGTAATTTTTATATGTAAATAACCAAACCAAGAAGCAAAATTAGCAATAACCCAACACTAGTTTTCTTTGAAGAAATATGAAAGGTATATTATTACAAAAACAATTAACATAATTGAATATAAAAAGTGAATCAAATTACATAAAATAGATCTTATTAGGATGCTAAATAAGACCAAGTAATTTAACACAAATTATAGTATACAAATATAATTTTGGGCAAGAGTTGAAAAACTAAGCTATCTTTAAACCTGCTAACATTTTAAAATATCGTACTTTTGAGATTTTAAATACTTTCTAATAGCTAAATTTTTTTCATCAAACTGGAAACAAAGTTTATAAACTGGAAGCATAAAATGTTAAAAATGGAAGAGATAACTCAAAGAACGCATTCTACTGGTAAAACACACACATGTTCTTTCCCTCCGTGGTAACTCAATCTCAAAAACGAAAAAAAAAAAAGTACTATTTTTTCATTCCAATCATATAACAGAAAAGCTAAAGAGGTAGATTATATTTGAATTTACACTAGCACCACAGGGTACGAATTCTTCACACTCCAAGGCTAGCAATCAGACTAAGTTTAAGTAAGAGTAGCAAAAGTACAATCATGTGCCACATAACTACATTTTGGTGAACAATGGACCACATATATGATGCTGGTCCCATAAAATTATAATGGAGCTGAAAAATTCCTATAGTAACATCATAGCTGTTTTAATGCTGTAGCACAATACATTACTCACATGTTTGTGGTGATGCTGGTGTAAACAAACCTATTTGGGCTGCCAGTGCTATTAAAGTCTAGCATGTATAATTATGTACAGAACACATACTGGATAATGATATTAACTGCTGTTACTGGTTTATATATTATAATTTTTATTCTACAGTATATTCCTTTTACTTATTTTTTAAAAGTTAACTGTAAAACAGCTTTAGACAGTTCCTTAAAGAGTATTCTACTAGAAGGCACTGTTATCACAGAAGATGACAGCTCCATGACTGTCACTGCCCCTGAAGACCTTCCAGTGGGACAAGATGTGGAGGTAGAAGAGAGTGATACTGATGATCCTGACCCTGTATAGGCCTAGGTTAATATGCGTGTATGTGTACTCATTCTTAACAAAGAAGTTAAAAAGTAAAATAAACATTAAAATTTTAAAAATAGGAAAAAGTTTATAGAATAGGGATATAAAGGAAGAGAATATTTTTCTACAGCTATACAATGTGTTTGTTTCAAGCTGTGTTATTATAAAAGTTAAAATGTTTTTAAAAATTCAGTTTATAAAGCAAAAAATTATAGTAAGCTATGTCTAATTTATTACTGAAGAAAGTTTTTTTATATATATTTTAGCACAGCCTAGGTGTACAGTGTTTACAAGGTCAACAGTACGGTAATGTCCTACACCTTCACATTCACTCACCACTCACTCACTGACTCATTCTGAGCAACTTTCAGTCCTGCAAGCTCCATTCATGATAAGTGTTCTATACAGGTGTACCATTTTGAAATCTTTTATACTGTATTTTTACTGCACCTTTTCTATGTCTAGACATGTTTAGATACGTATTTACCATTGTGTTATAGTTGCCTACAGTACAGTAACATGCTGTATAGATTTGCAAAGCCTATGCCATCTAGGCTTGTAAGTACACTCTACGATGTTTGCACAATAATGAAATCACCTAATGAACACATTTCTCAGAATGTATCCCCATCATTAAGCAAGGTATGACTGTATTGGTAAAAGACTGGAGAAACACTACTTATTTACAAAAGACAAAAATACAGCAATACTAACAATAGCTATTATTTTGGGCATTATTCATTATTTTGACCACTATTGAAAATACTTTATATGCATTAACTCACTTAATCCTCAAAATAACTCTATGAAGAAGGAAATAACATTATCTCTACTTTCCAGACTAGATAAACCAGGAAAAGAGAAGTGACTTGCCCAAAGAACCCTGCTAGTAAGTGGAGGGGCCTGGATTCAAACCCAAGCCATTGGAATTTAGAAGTTACCCTCAATAAAACATCTGCAGAAAAAAATGGATACAACTTGTCAAATTAGGATAATAAGAGACATAAAACACATCATCCAAGGAACTACTGTAAGTACTGGGGCTGTTTATTCTGGAAGAAGAAAAGCTGAGTTGAATCATGTCTGCTCTTTTTAAGCACCTGAAAGGCTTTCAGGTGAAAGAGCAATCGAATTCCTTCTGAATGTCTTAATGTGGTAGGCAGCCACTAAGATGGCCCCAGTCAGCTCCATTTCCTTATAGGTAAACCTTATATAGTTCCGTCCCACATTACGGGGTTGGTCTCTATCACCAACAGAATATAGCAGAAGTGATAACAAGTTACTTCCAAAATTAAGTTATAACATCTTCCATCTTGGGTGTTCTTGCCCTCTCTTTTCACATGCACTCACACTGGGGGAAGCCAGCTGCCATGCTGAAAAGCCCATGGAGAGACCTATGTGGTGAGGAACTAAAGTCTCCCCCAATAGCCAACAAAGAACCAAGGCCTCCCAACAACCACAGGAAGAGCTTAAAAGCAGATCCACCCCACAAGTCAAGTCTTCAGGTGATATTGCAGCCCTTGCCAACATCTTGACTGCAACTACATTAGAGACCCTAAGACAGAATCACCTGGCTAAACTG